AAGCAGACTCCCCGCTGAGCAGGGAGCCCGATGTGGGACTCGATCCCGGGACTCCAGGATCATGACCTGAGCCGAAGGCAGTCGCTTAACCAACTGAGCTACCCAGGCGCCCCTAAAGAAGGCTCTTGATGGTATTGGGTTCAGTTTTGATTCCAGCCCCACTGTGTTACATTTGAATGTAAAAGATACCCTTCTGAAAGTAACTGTGTTGTATTTTCCCTTCTCAGCTTTTCCTTCACAATCATTTTATACCTTCACCTTCCTAGCTTTTGTTTCTAGGGCTCTGCTTGACCAAATAGATGATATTCCTGGAAAATAGTTGTAGATTTGTGGTTTGGCAACTGCTTTTTCTCAAGGCTCATATAAATTGAGAGCTGGTTACTTTGTTTCTCACTTTGTGGGAGAAAAGATTCTGTTACTGAAGGCATCCATCCTTTCTTTTAACCTTGCAGACAAAACAGCTTAAAACTTCCTAGGCTAAGGAGTCCCTGTCAAAACAGATTTTTATTTGAAGAGCTAAGATGCCTAAGGATATTTAGCAATAGCCCATATGAATTATAGCAGAGTCAAAGCTTTAGAATAAAAAAGACATCTCTCATTATCTAACCCTGTTGCACCCACTGTTAGATAGTATTGTTTTAACCACTTGCTACTCATCTTATAGCAGGGTATACAAATAGAAAAATGGACCTCCTGATTAAAAATTGGCATAACAATTAAAAATTGGCCCACCAAAATTGGGTGGGCAGATGGGTGAAATAGATAAAGGGGGTTAAGAGGTGCAAACTTCCAGTTATAAAATAGTCACAGAGATGAAAAGTACAGCCTAGGGAATACAGTCAATAATATTGTTACAATGTTTGGTGACAAATGGTGACTACACTTTCATGATGAGCACTGAGTAATGTCTAGGATTGTTGAATCATTATGTTATACACCTAAAACTGACATAACACTGTGTTAATTATACTTCAGTGACTAAAAAATTGGCATAACACAGAACATATTCTACATTTTATTGTGAAAATTACTAGTAGCTATCAAGATTAGTTTTTTTTTTTTAAAGTCCTGAACTCATTTTTTTTTTTTTTATTCAGTGGTTTCACTTCCATAATGAAAAAATATATTTTGTTTGTGACATCTAGAACTCTGGAGATAGATGGAATTAATAGGTAAATTATAGTTTTTCATTTAAGATGATTTGAGTTTCAGCTGGAAAGGTAAGCACAGCATGCCGAAGTACAGCTGGAATAAATAAACTATTTTACCTCTTTCATAAAGATCTCAGTGTATGCAACTTTGAGTTCAGAGATGATCATACTTGCATGTTCTGAGTGATAGAGAAGTGAAAGTATTTTTTTCAATGTAATGCTTCATTTCGTATTTGTTTAGTGATGTTTCCAAAGCAACTGTTCTTTTCACTGCCGTCTCTTTAAAATAAACTTTCAGTGGATTCTTTGAAATTCAATCCTTAAAGCTGGATTCTTTATTTAGTAAGATACACTGGATCAGTCCTGGCTAATTATATGATTTTTGACACTTGTCACTTATAAAGAGAAGATAACCACTCTTCACCTTTGTTTGTCTTTCTCCCTGACAGAATCCCAAGGACTGCAGCAAAGCCAAGAAGCTGGTATGCAATATCAACAAAGGCTGTGGCTATGGCTGTCAACTCCATCATGTGGTCTACTGCTTCATGATTGCATATGGTACTCAGCGAACACTCATCTTGGAATCTCAGAATTGGCGCTATGCTACTGGTGGATGGGAAACTGTGTTTAGACCTGTAAGTGAGACATGTACAGACAGATCCGGCACCTCCACTGGACACTGGTCAGGTAAGAAGCCTGTGCAGTATTTCACATTTCTGGGTTGAACTGCCACATTCTACATTATCAGATTTCTAGGCTCAGCTTTATGGTTATGGGCATCTTTTTCTCGGGATCCATGACTGTTCTACATTGCCAAGGTAAAATCTAGAATAATAAGTGCTTTATAACCTATTTCATTTCTAATGTTATTTTTATCTTGATTTAGCAAAACCGCTAAGTTTTTTTAAGGAATGTAATTTACTCTTTTAATGAAATACATGATTCACTTTTTAGGGTACTTTCATATTATTGAACTCATTTGATAGTCATAATCATCTAAGAAAGTAGACTGATATATGAGAATCTTCACCATGCGTGAGAATCAGCTGGAAGGCTTGTTAAAACACTGGCTTCTGATTCAGTAGGTTTGGGAGGGGGGCTGCTGAGAATTTGCATTTCTAACAAATTTTCCAGATCCAGGGATGACACTTTGAGAATTACTGAGGCAGACCATGCAGGTACCTTTACCTCCATTTTACATTTGAGGACAATGAAACCTAATTTGCTTGTGCAATTTTAATTTTATTCAGGAAACATTTGAAGAGGAAAAATATGAGTAAGGTACTATGCTAGACATTATCTCCAAGAATTTAGTGATAAAGGAAATAAAATATTGAGTTTCTTACTGCTAATCTATTGTTCTTTCTACATGATCTTTAAACAAGATCTAAAGTTGAGCTACCTCTGTGAAAATCCTGGCTTTATCACTTTGTAATCTTGGGCAAGTTACTTAACGTTGGCCTTAGTTCTCTCATCAGTAAAATGAGAAGTAATAATTTACTTACTTCTTTAAGTTGTTGGTAGGATTAAGTAGGATAATATATGTAATGCACTTAGCACAGTACTTGATACATGAACTCTAGTAATTATTAGCTATCATTAGTAGCTTTATTCATTGGGTAGATATACAGTGAGAACCTACACTGTGGCAGATACTGAACTGATTAGGTGAAATGCTAAGCAAGACAATACGCCATCTCTGCACTTACATTTTGTGAGAAGTCAAAAATTTTTCAAAGGCTGAGGCATTTCTGTTGATATAATTTCTCATGGAGCGGAGCATCTTTTTTCATAAGTTTGAACACTAGATATGGTATTAAGAAGCTCTGTCATTGGCAAAGTGAGTAACTTTAGTTCCTTTGTTTCTTTTTACCTCCTTTGGAAAATATGACTCTTCCAGAAGTGACAGAAAAATTAATTGGGTAATTTTTATAAAATGCTTTAAGTACTATAAAAGGTTCTATATGGATTTTTTATTTTTTAAAGATTTTATTTATTTACTTGAGAGAGAGAGAGAGAGAGAGAGCACAAGCTGGGGGAGGGGCAGAGGGAGCTGGAGAAGCAGACTCCCTCTGAGCAGGGAGCCTGATACATGGGGCTCCATCCCAGGACCCTGGAATCATGGACTGAGCCGCTCGGCTCTCCCAGTTCTAAATGGATTTGAAGTATTATTTTGTGATGTGAGTTTTGTCTTCCTTAGGATGATTTTGGAGCCTTATTGTATATATCAACATATTTTTTCCATGTCACTCCAAGTTTTAAAGGAACCTCTTAATCTAGTACCTTAGCTGAGCTTTAATTTTGAGGTTACATCTCCCATTGATCTGGTCTATGGTTTACAGCTGGGGCAAACAGACTAGGTGTCAAGGTTAGGAGGATACAGGAAAAGCAGTTCTTTCAGACTCATTGTGGCTAACTTTTTTATTTTGTGAACTTAGTTTAGTTTCAAGCCTCTTTGCTTGTGAAGTACGTAGCCAGAGTAGGGCAAGGTTCTTGTGTTAATAGAAAAGTAAAAAGTTGGCCTCACTAGACTTAACCAAATTTAGTATATAGTTTGGCCTTGCCTAAAAGCCACAACTAGTTATTTGGTTTGATTTTTAGTCCTTGCTCATACATTTTGTAGTCTGTAGTGACAACTACAAGATATGAAGGCTAAACAGCCTTGAATTTGAAACATGCAGAATTTCTTAATGTTATAGTTAAACAGGTTCTAGAAATCATCCTTCTTTTATGTGGATTCTAAGGCCTAGTAGATACCAGGTGATTTATTCAGCATTATGCATCTTATAAATGGCAGGACTGTGGTTGGCACATTGACTTTCACCTGCCTTTAGTCTACATCCTTCCCAGTCAGCTCATGCCAAACACCTTACTCATTAGAACAATGACAGGCATAGAGACTGTCCTGAATGTCTAGGAACTAAATAAAACTACTAATTTATTTCCTCCCCCTGCCCTGTAACTTTTTACAGACCTTCCATATAATTTCCACTGAAGAGTTATCAGTGGTATTTTGTTCTCAGTCATTTGCAGTCCCTGATTAAAGAAGTCATTTTATCGGGGTAGCACAGAATTATGATTTTAATTTGTAGATCTTTCCTTTATCACTACAGGTATTATATAAAATCATATATTTTTCTTTGTGCTAATGAAACAAACTGTGCCTGTTAATCACTAGTTTAATTAATTAAAGGTGTTCATTTTCAGTATGCTTGCAGAACTCATTGTAACTAAAGTAATTTAGATGCTAATCATTTATCTAAAAGAAGGAAGAGGGGCTCCTGGGTGGCTCAGTCAGTTAAGCTGCTGCCTTCAGCTCAGGTCATGATCCTAGGGTCCTGGGATTGAGCCCCACATTGGGCTTCTTGCTAAGCGGGCAGCCTGCTTCTCCTCCCCCCCCGCCATTCCCCCTGCTTGTGCTTGCTCTCTGTCTCTATCTCTCTCGTTCTCTCTGTGTCAAATAAATAAATAAAAAATCTTAAAAAAAAAAATAAAAGAAGGAAGAGATTTGTGTTTTGAGCTTAGAATATTTTATTTCTTTGAAAGCTATGGTAGCCATCCACTTCTGTTTCTGTTTATATACATTATCTGTATATGTACCTTTTGGAGAAACTAACCTATTTCTAGAATTAGAAGAAACAGAATGAATTTTAATAAGCTCTTTAACATTAATTCTTTAGTTAGCCATAAATCAACTACTACATCTGTTATTGTACTGACTTGTCTAAAGAATCTTGGGAGATTTCCCCTGGCACCACTGCCATGAAATTATTATTGTTTATACACACTTGACATGATGTGCCTGCAGGTGGAATTTAGTGATTTCTATTGAAATCTGTCACCAATACAGGAATTAGTATGCACATCTGATCATTTCAGTAGCTAAATCATACCTTGTTGTGGGTTGAGTTCTGTTTTTCTCCTTCATTATTTATGAAACCATATCCTATGTAGTAAATAATTTCATTAAGTGAAGCAAAATATTTAAAATTATGCTTCCAATTAAAATCATCATCATCATCATCTTTCCCATCACCTATAGAAGTCATGTCTATTCTAAAGTTGCTGATAAGATGGTCAATTTATTTTTCTATATATACAATTTTTTTTTCTGTATATACAAGCTATTTTCTAAAGCTGATAAACTACATGTAATAAGACTCATTCTTTCAAATATATTCCTTATGATAATTCAGAATAGAATCTTGGTGTTTAATACTTTGAAATATCTTTCAACAGTTATTGATTTGATTGTTAATATATATTAACTGTTGGGCTATTATGATGACCAGCTTCCAAAATGCTTATCTAGTTGATATAAGTAGTCTTGAATAGATTAGCAACAAAGAACCTCAACCATTTAAATTCAATTTTCCACTCTCATTCAATTCAATTTTTCCATTCTAAAAATTGAACATTTATTCAGATTAGCAGTTAAGCCACTTTGTTTTGTATTTCCTTCTCTTGTCTTCCCACTGTCTTATTAAATATGTAATAAATTGAACTGACTTAATTTGATAGGTCTAATTGGAAAACTTTCTTTTAAATGAAGATAATGACGAGTAACAAAAAGTGTTTCTAAATATGGTAAAATTTAATGCCCTAGAGGTGCCGGATTTAAATACATCTTTAGGTAAATTGACATTTGCTATATTTAGTTATCTAAACTGGATGGTTACCTTCTCTCCATACCTCATTTCACAAAGGTTTTGGTCAGAGTTTTATTTGTCATCCTTATATGGAGGCAATCTTAAAATAAAAGTAATTTAATAAAAGCACCTGCTCTGTGCCAGGCACCATGCTGGACTACATGAAGAAGACAGACACAGTCCCTGCCCTGTCAGGGGCGGCCTAGGGCGAAAGGCAGACAACTGAATGGACATTAAAGTATATTGTGATATGAGTAAGTTGATAGGACTCTGAAGCACACATCTAACACATATTTGGGATTCTTCTGGAAGAAGTGATTTTTAAGCTGAGGCCCAAAGTATGGGTAGGAGTCAGCCAGGCAGAGATGTGGTAGAAGGATTTTCTGTCATTGGGCACAACATGTGAAAAGAGAGGCAAGAGAGCATGGAGTCACTGGGGGATCTATAAGTAGTTCCTTGTAGAGTTTGATTATTGAGAGACTAAAGTTTTGTTCTGAAAATATTTGTCATTTATTGGGTCTGTTTGGATGGTTGTATGATTTTGTTCCTCCCTAAAAAAAACAGGTTTTAACTCAAGATTCAAAGCCCTTTGTTTTGTTTTAGCTTCAGAGAGGGGCAAAGTTAGAAATTAATTGGCTTTCAGCTGGCTCTTGGTGTCATCCAGGAACCATTAAACTTTTTTTAATTAAATTTTTGTTTCATTTTTTAATATCTTTTAGAGTTTACTCTTGGTAAATTTTTAAAAAGCTGACAAATACTACAAACTAAAATTCAGAAAAAAAACAACATATTTTTGTTAATTGTCTAAAACAATTCTATAATGCTATTTTCCCTGCATTTTAAAATTGGATAATTTCTATATGACACTAATTTGCATTATCATTTTGTATGGTAAGAATAGAAAGGTAATTCAGTCTTCTAGCTTGATCAAATTATTTTTCCAGTTTTATTGAGATGTAATTATCATATAACATTGTATTAGTTTAAAGTGTACAATGTAATGATTTGACGTAGGTATATTGTGACAAGATTACTGCA